TCAGGTCCAAAGTATCGAAGTTGTCTTCAAATATTAAACATGGATAGGTGGCGCAGCGGTCGGGGGGACCTGGGCGGAATACAAGGCTGATATTACAACGACACTGACACGATCAGAATTTACTTAAAAAACAAGCTTCAAAGGCGACTGAGAAAAAATAATTAAATAAATACGGTAATCAAATAACAAACGAAAAAGAATAAATAAAAATAAAATTCACGTAGATGAATAAATGAATGAATGAAATGAAACTGATTAAAATACCATATAAATATACAAAAACATAGACTAAAATATAAGTATCCTTGCAGACGACTTTTTTGTACCTTCACTGGTGGGCGGAGCCCCTGTGGTGGCTGGAGTTGTCGGAGCTGAGGAGACGAAAAATTTTCATAAAGTTACCGAATTTCACACAAAATGGCGAATATCTCTAAGCAAAATGAAAAGTTTGCAGCAAACTTGCTTCAAATTAAACAGTTTTCAAAAAAAAAAAAAAAAAAAAAAAAAAAAAAAAAATTGCAGGTTGTTGCAAATTTGTGAGATCATTCTAAATTTGCGGCAAATTTCCAAGAAACCTTCAAATTTCTAGCAGTATGCGAGAAGCCTAACATTTTGCTGAAGGATGTCATTTTAAGAGCAACACAAAATGTTAGAAACTATAATTTAAAACAATCAAAAATTACTAAGTTTTTAATTATCATGAAACGATTCAGTCTTTATGTTAAAAATAAAATTGCTTAGGTGGGGCTATGTGTCTGGTGGCTACAGAATGATAATTATACCTTCACCGGGAGGTGCCGCCACTGTAGTCGACGGAGAAGTCGGACCTGAAAAAGTAACGCACACTTACACCACAGAACAAGATGGCTTTGCAAATTGTACATGTTACTTGCCTTTATACGAGTAAATTTACTTAACGACTGGTCAACAAGTAATGAACACCGACACCGTGACATCAAGAATTTTAACATTAGGGCCTATACAAAATGATGTAAATGAGCAAAGTTTCGATGACCAACACAATAGCTGGATTCCATGTACCTCTAACGGCGCCACAAGATAATAATTTTATCTGGCTTTCGGGTTGAGGCTCTTCAAATCAGATTTGACAGTCGAGTTTAAGGTCCCAGACTAATAGTATTAAGTGTTTTATTCAACTGGAATCAAAACTAAAACGCATACCAGTTGTCTCATTAAAACCATTCAATGTGAGGTAATGTGACCTCATAAATAGCAAATGCTTACCCGCTGGCACTGTCCAAGATAGATCGAGCTTTTGGTACGCCCGGCTTCCTCGTACGACGTAATACCAATAATTTACTACGTCACCAGGTTGTAATATGACGTCATTATTTACTTCTACAAACGCACCAGCCCCTGTTTGCGTCAAAATAAATAGTATATGTTACACATCAACTAATTTAAGAAACAAAAAGAAAATCATTTAAGTGTTTAGTCGTTTGGAAAAATGATATTGAAGAACCAAGTCATTTTAGCTGACATGCTGATGTTGATAGGATTACTTCATTTTTCGTAGAAAATTGTCCTTAAAAAAACTTTTAACTTTCCGAATTTTACAGTTTACATATATGTTTACTTAATAAAAATTGAACGGTCGGCCAGAGGCTCACATAAAAACCACGCAGATATTTCCAGAAAACTCCTGCGTACCTGGTTCCCGAGCTGTGATGTCAACATTGTAGTCTCCGGCGTCTGTTGCTATCAGCGGTTTGTTAATACTGTAGTGGAAGGCGACAAGACTCACTTGACTGTCTTCGTCTGGCGGCAAGGAAGAGGAAAGATGTTTGCAAATAATTGATTAAAAATAATTGATTTAAAATGTTACAAAGGGACAGAAATTCTAGTTCTATTTGGTGAAATGGAAAAGGTTCGATAATGAACTATTCCTCCTGATCGCCTGGTTATCTAATGATGCATGCCGGAGCGATTTCGACTAAAGGCTGAACCCCAGGTGAGAGCAGCTGTCACGTTTAGTTTACATGGCGAGTCTTAAACGAGAAAGTGAGATTATGCTTTCTGTCTTTTTCAATTCTGTTCTTCAGTAAAAATACCAACACAAGCACAAAAATTCTAGATTCTAAAGAACAAAAAAAAGTAAAGACAAAAATCTTCCAGAGCGCTCTTCTCTCAAAGCAACCAGCGACCAGTTCATGAACTGAGTCTTACTTTTGTGGCATATCATGAAAATCATGAATCACTGATGTTCAATACGCACAACTATCTAGGAGATCAGACCTCCACATGAAATGTTTGTAATAAATTCCAAGGCAAATTTGTAGGGAGAAAAATTGAATAAAAATATTTATAAAGTTTCAACCCTGTCTATTCACTAGTTACCTTTATAAGCAAATCTCATCCCACTGGACGCTGTCAAGGAAATCTTCACCGGTTTCAAGATGTATGTCACTGCTGATGTTAATAAAACAGCCACGAACGCTGTCGATATAATTAATCGGTACACGGGGAGATTCATCTGTGCTTCTTAACGTGCTACGACAAAAAGATGAAAAGTTTGAGAATGAGATTCCTTTTTTCTGATACNTATATATATATATATATATATATATATATATATATATATCCTGTCTTACCTCCTGATCGAAAGGGGACATGCGGCGATTGGGGGCGTTAGTGCCCCAGGGGTTATCTATCCCCGGGGCCCTGGCGGCGAAGTCTCCCATCTCCCAAAATCCACCCTCCCCGGGGCTAACACTGAGAAGTTCAATGCCGTCAACGGAGGACCTGAAAAAATGTGATCACTGTGCTATGAGTTCGGGCCATTTTTATCACGATTGTTTAAACAGACACACTTCCCCCCGCCCTGTGCCACGTGACATACAACACGAGACACTGCATGGGTAGGGAGCGGCAATGACAGATATGAAGTGCCGGCTCACTGCAATGGAGTGCACCTTCCACATTGCCATTGTCTTGTTATTATTGTGGTAAAAGCATCGTGGAAAGACCCACAATGACGACAGAGGCGCGGTATTTTTTATCAAGCATATTGATAACCAGACAATGTGGGCCACACCCATACTTGGCATGAGAAATAACCAGATAAAATCATTTCCAAATTTATATAGAATCCATGCAGTTGACGCTATAAAGAATGTCTACAGAACCCTAAGCACGCCACATAATATTTGACTCGGTATATTGTCTGTCTTCGCTTATTGAGAAACCATATTATGTATTGTTCCTAGGCAATACGTCCCAAACTCGTCAAAATAATTTCTGCTCTATGACCGGCGTGCTCAGGGTTATTTATACCCCTGTACTTGTCATGGAGTGTGTATATACTCTACCTGATGCTCTTTTCGTCCCATTCCAAAACGTAAGTGTGAAAACCGGTACCAAACGTCCCTGACTGCGATGTGCTGAAATTAGACATAAATGCAAACATCATATATAAAAAATTATATAAAGGTGAGGTTCTGCAAGAAAGATGTCACTGCTAAAAATTGAACATATAAAATTCGAGTGATATTCACAGCAAAGTTATTTTTTATTCACATTTCTTTTACATGGGGTTACCGTGAAGATATTGTGTCCACTCATTGCCATTAAACTTACACACTGCTTGTAGTGCGAAAAAAATCGTTCAGTTGGACATACGGCCCCCAGTGTAATGTTGACGTCACTGTGTCCACCCCGATGGACGCTGCTCCGTTCCTTAGAAACATGTTACCACGTGACTCTACGATGTCGATTTCGCCGGACGCTGGCCAGGAACCGTAGGCCTGGTTGGTGGGTAACATCCATATGGCTAGAGTGGGGAGAGGGAGAGGGAGAGGGTTCAGTTTAACGATGATAATTAGGCTATAAGTTATCAAAATAAAACAGCATGTAGGCCTAACTGTGATAAAAAGTGCGACACAATAACGCAAGTTTCGATGATTTCCCTAAATGGCTACCGTGTTAACAATCGAAATATCTATATGAATGACAGAGATAAAAAAGAAGGCATTTAATTTCACGTTCCTACCTGGCCATATCCAGTCTCCGGTTGGCATTTTAGCTTCTATCTCCACTCTACCGTACCGGAAGTCAAAGCTGTGTGCCGTCCTCAGTCGCCCTGATTGGATGGGATTAATATAGTTATTAGCGTTACCATGGCGTTCACAGCCGTAGAACGCGTTGCCCGTACATCGATCAGCAGGCCCTGAACCTGAATTTGAAAAGAAAGATAGCTGAATGACGGAAACGGCGAGCATCATAAATGTTATTTATATCAAGAAGCATGCTATCATTCTGTGATCTTAAATGCCAATTGTCCATGTATAGGTTCTAGTTTGGTCGTTTCCTTAATTTTACAATGATGTATTTAAATTTCTGCTTTTTTAATCTAAATTTAACCCAGAAATAACGGTATGTAGCACGAAACTGCATGCATTTTAGGAAAAAGGAGTGGTAGCACATGCAATTTCGTGCTGCCGTATAAGCAGACTTACCCCACAGATCTAACCGTCCTGAGGACAGAAACGCTTCTCCAAACTTATCCGCAGTGAGCGTGGGTTTTATGAATAATACGCCATCTCTGACGTAGGTATTCGACCTGTTGTTAGTGTAGTACTGGAACTCCCAGTTCTGGAGAAAGTAATGAAGGAAAATGAGCAAAAATGTTCGGAACTGGTTCGTGATATCGTAGAGAACACGTTTTTTAAATTGAAAGGATTTTTAGTTTTGATATGGTTTACATGTTTACGTTTTCGTTTCAAAATGACACCCTTTTCTCTTAAATCTTTAAACGTCGCCTACCCCTCCTCCTCCCGCCGTAATCTCGTGTTCCCACGTGTTCAGGTCCAAAGTATCGAAGTTGTCTTCAAATATTAAACATGGATAGGTGGCGCAGCGGTCGGGGGGACCTGGGCGGAATACAAGGCTGATATTACAACGACACTGACACGATCAGAATTTACTTAAAAAACAAGCTTCAAAGGCGACTGAGAAAAAATAATTAAATAAATACGGTAATCAAATAACAAACGAAAAAGAATAAATAAAAATAAAATTCACGTAGATGAAAAAATGAATGAATGAAATGAAATTGATTAAAATACCATATAAATATACAAAAACATAGACTAAAATATAAGTATCCTTGCAGACGACTTTTTTGTACCTTCACTGGTGGGCGGAGCCCCTGTGGTGGCTGGAGTTGTCGGAGCTGAGGAGACGAAAAATTTTCATAAAATTACCGAATTTCACACAAAATGGCGAATATCTATAAGCAAAATGAAAAGTTTGCAGCATACTTGCTTCAAATTAAACAGTTTTCAAAAAGAAAAAAAAAAGAAAAAAAAGTATGCAGGTTGTTGCAAATTTGTGAGATCATTCTAAATTTGCGGCAAGTTTCCAAGAAACCTTCAAATTTCTAGCAGTTTGCGAGAAGCCTATCATTTTGCTGAAGGATGTCATTTTAAAAGCAACACAAAATGTTAGAAACTATAAAATAAAAACAATCAAAAATTACTAAGTTTTTAATTATCATGAAACGATTCAGTCTTAATGTTAAAAATAAAATTGCTTAGGTGGGGCTATGTGTCTGGTGGCTACAGAATAGTAATTATACCTTCACCCGGAGGTGCCGCCACTGTAGTCGACGGAGAAGTCGGACCTGAAAAAGTAACGCACACTTACACCACAGAACAAAATGGCTGTGCAAATTGTATAAGTTACCAGCCTTTATACGAGTAAATTTACTTAACGACTGGTCAACAAGGAATGAACATTGACACCGTGACATCAAGAATTTTAACATTGTACAAAATGATGTAAATGAGCAAAGTTTCGATGACCAACACAATAGCTGGATTCCATGTACCTCTAACGGCGCCACAAGATAATAATTTTATCTGGCTTTCGGGTTGAGGCTCTTCAAATCAGATTTGACAGTCGACTTTAAGGTCCCAGACTAATAGTATTAAGTGTTTTATTCAACTGGAATCAAAACTAAAACGCATACCAGTTGTCTCATTAAAACCATTCAATGTGAGGTAATGTGACCTCATAAATAGCAAATGCTTACCCGCTGGCACTGTCCAAGATAGATCGAGCTTTTGGTACGCCCGGCTTCCTCGTACGACGTAATACCAATAATTTACTACGTCACCAGGTTGTAATATGACGTCATTATTTACTTCTACAAACGCACCAGTCCCTGTTTGCGTCAAAATAAATAGTATATGTTACACATCAACTAATTTAAGAAACAAAAAGAAAATCATTTAAGTGTTTCGTCGTTTGGAAAAATGATATTGAAGAACCAAGTCATTTTAGCTGACATGCTGATGTTGATAGGATTACTTCATTTTTCGTAGAAAATTGTCCTTAAAAAAACTTTTAACTTTCCGAATTTCACAGTTTACATATATGTTTACTTAATAAAAATTGAACGGTCGGCCAGAGGCTCACATAAAAACCACGCAGATATTTCCAGAAAACTCCTGCGTACCTGGTTCCCGAGCTGTGACGTCAACATTGTAGTCTCCGGCGTCTGTTGCTATCAGCGGTTTGTTAATACTGTAGTGGAAGGCGACAAGACTCACTTGACTGTCTTCGTCTGGCGGCAAGGAAGAGGAAAGATGTTTGCAAATAATTGATTAAAAATAATTGATTTAAAATGTTACAAAGGGACAGAAATTCTAGTTCTATTTGGTGAAATGGAAAAGGTTCGATACTGAACTATTCCTCCTGATCGCCTGGTTATCTAATGATGCATGCCGGAGCGATTTCGACTAAAGGCTGAACCCCAGGTGAGAGCAGCTGTCTTTAGTTTACATGGCGAGTCTTAAACGAGAAAGTGAGATTATGCTTTCTGTCTTTTTCAATTCTGTTCTTCAGTAAAAATACCAACACAAGCACAAAAATTCTAGATTCTAAAGAAGAAAAAAAAGTAAAGACAAAAACTTCCAGAGCGCTCTTCTCTCAAAGCAATATTTGAACGGCGCGTGGTCTTGCCGGACATTACGGTGCATTTTTGGGGGCCGTAGCGATAGTCCGAAGGTTCAATAGTCCGAAGGTTCATTGGTCCGAATGTTCACTATAGAACCTTCGGACCAATGAACCCTTGATTAAAAAATCGATAAAAATGTTACCTCTTTTCGGACCAATGAACCTTCGGACTAATGAACCTTCGGACTATCGAGACGCCCCCCATTTTTGATAACAACCCAAGCGACCAGTTCATGAACTGAGTCTTACTTTTGTGGCATATCATGAAAATCATGAATCACTGATGTTCAATACGCACAACTATCTAGGAGATCAGACCTCCACATGAAATGTTTGTAATAAATTCCAAGGCAAATTTGTAGGGAGAAAGATTGAATAAAAATATTTATAAAGTTTCAACCCTGTCTATTCACTAGTTACCTTTATAAGCAAATCTCATCCCACTGGACGCTGTCAAGGAAATCTTCACCGGTTTCAAGATGTATGTCGCTGCTGATGTTAATAAAACAGCCACGAACGCTGTCGATATAATTAATCGGTACACGGGAAGATTCATCTGTGCTTCTTAACGTGCTACGACAAAAAGATGAAAAGTTTGAGAATGAGATTCCTTTTTTCTGATGCNAAATGGATAGAACCGCGTGCTACCGACTCTTGTTCACTGCGCCGCTGTACAGCTACAGCTACCGATACAAGCGCTGACATTAAATTCCTTATTTCTAAAAATACGTGTGCACGCTGACAGTCAATCATTAATTTTTTAGACCGGGTGTCATCATACAGACGTAGCACCAGTACTTATCCAGTAAGTAAAATCTTATAAATTTTACTTGTTCTTTAGTTAAGTGACTTTTATTGTTTCTATAATTTATTATTATTGTTTCTATAATTTTCAGATGTTAAACTTCTAACATCTGAAAATTATAGAAACAATAATAATCCATCAGTTAGTACCAGTAGTCATGTAATTTTCACATCAGTTGAACGTACGTTAATAATAATAAAATCATTACAAATTCAAAACAAAAGTCACTTAAGTAAAGAACAAGTAAAAATTATAAAATAACCTTTTTGGCAACCGAAGCCAACCTGTAGTTTGGAAGAGGACATCCTCTTACGAATGAAGGTCACTGCGCTTACGGACCTTACACAAGTACGAATGAAAAGATCTCGACGAACGCGCAACTGCCTGTAAATGACGACAAAAAACGAGCCCAATTTGGCTGTATCTTTATTACATAACACCATGACGACACAACAAACTTCACACACACGCGCAACTGCGTGCACATATTCATAAACATGAGCGTCTTTACATAAGTAAAAATAGGAAACACACTCATACAGAGTTCTTGAAACACTGAATAACACATCACAACGCTTAAAAACTCCTGGTCTTGAATAAGTAAAGTTTCGCAAATAATACTAAGACAGTTAAGACCCTTTTCTATATTTATGGTCTCTTTAAATATAGTTACATGTAAGTCCTGTGGAAATAACTATAGAGACAAGAGTTGGTAAAGTACATACACGTATCAAGTCATGTGACAACAGATCACTTCCTTTGGTTATCAATCATAACAGAGTATGGTTCCTTACCGATATATACAGATATATAAACTATATCGTTAAACTATTTCATGCTATCTGTTTATGTGCGTACCTGTATTGTGCTACGTATTTTTACCATTAATAGAACACATTCATTTTACTTAAAATTGATAAATTAATTTTCAAATCTAGACAACAGTCGTTGGCTCATAAGCCAAACAGCAAAATGAGATTAATATAGCTTTGTACCATTCCAGGCCTTTGAAGTGATATTTTACTTTAAAAATTATATATTTTTAAAAATATTTTTAAAATGTTTTACAAATTTCCACCACCACTGCCTTCACAACATGCTTTTATTTGCAACAGTGGTTTGAATAAATAGAAGTTTCATGAATAATAATTTAATGCTTATGAGTATTTCTTTTCTGGAGCATATCCCAGAAAAACCTCCAAGCTCCTAAGATAATGAATGGTAAATTGATGAAAAACCCTGACAATGCAGCAATAAAATGCTACTGTCAATAAATAAGTGATACACGATAAGTAACAATGCTGGGTTATTGTCATTTTGTAACACACACTTTATAAGCATCCTTAAAAATTTGCACTCAATAAAGTTTTAAAAAATTAAATTCTCTCTTCCTGTCAACTTACCAATGGCACTGATTTTGTTTTAAACTAGTGTATACAAACCTGTCATCAACATAATACTTGGTAAAGTCTTAACTGGTATTTACTGCACAATATCACATTTTCTTTCTTTTCTATTCCATTTTTATCAACTTTAGTCCTTTTCTATCAGTTTTACTTCTCCATGCTTCAAAACAAAGACTTCTCCCTCCTTGAGTCCTTTCTGTTTTGCTGACTCAGCAAATTTTTCTGGTGGTTCAAATATAGGCTGCAATAAACAATACAATTATACAATCTATCTTATTATAAAATGTTAGCTTAGTAAATCGACATATAGCAACAAAAGTGAACAATGGAAACCAAAAGAATCAATAAACATTAACAACTACATGTAAAAGTCGTAATTATCATCTTGAGAGACCTACTTTAAGTCACTGTTCTGAATACAGCAACAAAATGGACACTACAGCCCATGAGAGTAATTTTAATTTTAATTTTAGTTAAAACTAAAACACACTGGACAACTCTATGTGACAGTGTCTACCACTGCCGTGAGAGTCCTTGGGACCATTCCCAGACCCTATCATATTAACCTTGGATAGATTCATCTCCAAGGGGATTCTCACTAAATTGCTATCAAATTAAGCAGCTAAGGCTGTATTCCCAGAGCTTTTAGATCGATCTATCCCTGCGGGGAGTCTCACTAGATTACTGTCAGATAATCCGGCTTAAATGTCCATCCCGCCTACTACAAGCTGTAAGGGGGTAATTAATTATCATTTAGCATCTTCAGTTGGTGTGCCAGACATCTAAGCCACTTAAGTTAGTGAGACACCTCTTGGAGATGGATCAATCCTGTTAGATTGATCTAGGCATGGGAACCCAGTCTTAGTGTAGTTCTGGTTACCTCAGTGGATCCCATGTGGTATGTTCCCCAGTGGATCCCCAGGGTATATCTGGCCTTCACATCACAGTGGATGTCCACAGCCTGCGCCGGGTCCACGTGTTGGGGCGCCATGAACCACCTGAAATACACACACAGTGCGGCATGTTTTAAATCATCAACACTTTGTTTAATGTGTGACTTAATACACAAGGGAGGAAACTGCCATTCAGGGAAAGAAGTTGGAAAGTATGGCATGATGTCTGCCCAGGCCAGTGATATTCTTGGCTCCCAAAAAGTTGAAAATCCTCCCAAAGTGGGACTTATCTGATTCCTGAATACATTGTCATCTAGTATAGTATATACTATAGCTATATATATATATGTCAGAACACCTCAAGCTGTGTTATTGAAACATAAAACATTTATAGCTATAAAGAGAAACAATCTGATTATCTCATAAATTCTTCAACCACAAAGTTCAATTACGAAGTGAAACTATACAAACATAAGTGCTGTACCTAGGACAGTACGCCCCTATAGGAATGGCGGCCAAGTCAAAGGGTCCATGCTTCCTCCCTATCTGTTTGAATGCTTCACAGTATCCTGTGTCTCCAGCAAAGAAGAATCTGTTTGTTGATCCCAGAACACACCAGCTTCCCCAGAGCACCTGGAGACAACAGGATTAATAATAATAATAATAATAATAATAATAATAATAATAATACTAATACTACTACTACTACTACTAATAATAATAATAATAGATAAGTCCATTTTAACCCCCCCCCCCCCCCACCCTCTCTAGCCGACTCAACAGCTTCTGTACAGAACTAGCTATACATATACATGTATATATAGTCAATAGGCACAGCCATTTCTCTGGCTATAACACTTTTTCTGTCAAATGATGAATATTTGGAAAAAATTGATGTAATCACTCAGTCAGTTGACCTCTGGTAGAGAAAACATNAAGTGGATAGAACCGCGTGCTACCGACTCTTGTTCACTGCGCCGCACTGCGTACAGCTACAGCTACCGATACAAGCGCTGACATTAAATTCCTTATTTCTAAAAATACGTGTGCACGCTGACAGTCAATCATTAATTTTTTAGACCGGGTGTCATCATACAGACGTAGCACCAGTACTTATCCAGTAAGTAAAATCTTATAAATTTTACTTGTTCTTTACTTAAGTGACTTTTATTGTTTCTATAATTTATTATTATTGTTTCTATAATTTTCAGATGTTAAACTTCTAACATCTGAAAATTATAGAAACAATAATAATTCATCAGTTAGTACCAGTAGTCATGTAATTTTCACATCAGTTGAACGTACGTTAATAATAATAAAATCATTACAAATTCAAAACAAAAGTCACTTAAGTAAAGAACAAGTAAAAATTATAAAATAACCTTTTTGGCAACCGAAGCCAACCTGTAGTTTGGAAGAGGACATCCTCTTACGAATGAAGGTCACTGCGCTTACGGACCTTACACAAGTACGAATGAAAAGACCTCGGCGAACGCGCAACTGCCTGTAAATGACGACAAAAAACGAGCCCAATTTGGCTGTATCTTTATTACATAACACCATGACGACACAACAAACTTCACACACACGCGCAACTGCGTGCACATATTCATAAACATGAGCGTCTTTACATACGTAAAAATAGGAAACACACTCATACAGAGTTCTTGGGAACACTGAATAACACATCACAACGCTTAAAAACTGGTCTTGAATAAGTTAAGTTTCGCAAATAATACTAAGACAGTTAAGACCCTTTTCTATATTTATGGTCTCTTTGAATATAGTTACATGTAAGTCCTGTGGAAATAACTATAGAGACAAGAGTTGGTAAAGTACATACACGTATCAAGTCATGTGACAACAGATCACTTCCTTTGGTTATCAATCATAACAGAGTCTAGTTCCTTGCAGATAAATAAACTATGTCATTAAACTAATTTTCATGCTATCTGTTAATGTGCGTACCTGTATTGTGCTACGTATTTTTACCATTAATAGAACACATTCATTTTACTTAAAATTGATAAATTAATTTTCAAATCTAGACAACAGTCGTTGGCTCATAAGCCAAACAGCAAAATGAGATTAATATAACTTTGTACCATTCCAGGCCTTTGAAGTGATATTTTACTTTAAAAATTATATATTTTTAAAAATATTTTTTAAATATTTTACAAATTTCCACCACCACTGCCTTCACAACATGCTTTTATTTGCAACAGTGGTTTGAATAAACAGAAGATTCAAGAATAATAATTTTATGCTTATGAGTATTTCTTTTCTGGAGCATATCCCAGAAAAAGCTCCATGCTCCTAAGATAATGAATGGTAAATTGATGAAAAACCCTGACAATGCAGCAATAAAATGCTACTGTCAATAAATATGTGATACACGATAAGTAACAATGCTGGGTTATTGTCATTTTGTAACAAACACTTTATAGGCATCCTTAAAAATTTGCACTCAATAAAGTTTTAAAAATCTAAATTCTCTCTTCCTGGCAACTTACCAATGGCACTGATTTTGTTTTAAATTAGCGTATACAAACCCGTCATCAACATAATACTTGGTAAAGTCTAAACTGGTATTTACTGCACAATATCACATTTTCTTTCTTTTCTATTCCATTTTTATCAACTTTAGTCCTTTTCTATCAGTTTTATTTCTCCATGCTTCAAAACAAAGACTTCTCCCTCCTCGAGTCCTTTCTGTTTTGCTGACTCAGCAAATTTTTCTGGTGGTTCAAATATAGGCTGCAATAAACAATACAATATATCTTATTATAAAATGTTAGCTTAGTAAATCGACATATAGCAACGAAAGTGAACAATGGAAACCAAAAGAATCAATAAAAATTAACAACTACACGTAAAAGTCGTAATTATCATCTTGAGAGACCTACTTAAGTCACTGTTCTGAATACAGCAACAAAATGGACACTACAGCCCATGAGAGTAATTTTAATTTTAGTTAAAACTAAAACACACTGGACAACTCTATGTGACAGTGTCTACCACTGCCGTGAGAGTCCTTGGGACCATTCCCAGACCCTATCATATTAACCTTGGATAGATCCATCTCCAAGGGGATTCTCACTAAACTGCTATCAAATTAAGCGGCTAAGATGTCTGTCACGTCTACTGAGGCTGCTAGGGGGTAATTTATTAGTGTTTACCAGCTTCAAAAGGCTTTCTAGACATCCAAGCTACTTAAGCTGAAAGCAATTTAGCGAGAAACCCCTTGGAGATGGAGCGATCCTGTTAGATTGATCTAGGCATGGGAACCCAGTCTTAGTGTAGATCTGGTTACCTCAGTGGATCCCATGTTGTATGTTCCCCAGTGGATCCCCAGGGTATATCTGGCCTTCACATCACAGTGGATGTCCACAGCTTGCACCGGGTCCACGTGTTGGGGCGCCATGAACCACCTGAAATACACACACAGTACAGCACATTTTAAATCATCAACACTTTGTTTAATGTGTGACATAATACACAGGAAGGAGACTGCCATTCAGGGAAAGAAGTTGGAAAGTATGGCATGATGTCTGCCCAGTCCAGTGATATTATCTGGCTCCCAAAAAGTTGAAAATCTTCCCAAAGTGGAATTTATCTGATTCCTGAATACACTGTCATCCAACTATAGTATATATTATAGCTATATATATGTCAGAACACCTCAAGTGTCAGCATGAGATGTTATAAAGACATATATCACCTGAGTTTAGCACTGTGTTATTGAAACATAAAACATTTATAGCTATAAAGAGAAACAATCTGATTATCTCATAAATTCTTCAACCACAAAGTTCAATTATGAAGTCAAACTATACAAACATAAGTGCTGTACCTAGGACAGTACGCCCCTATAGGAATGGCAGCCAAGTCAAAGGGTCCATGCTTCCTCCCTATCTGTTTGAATGCTTCACAGTATCCTGTGTCTCCAGCAAAGAAGAATCTGTTTGTTGATCCAAGAACACACCAGCTGCCCCAGAGCACCTGGAGACAACAACAATAATAATAATAATAATAATAATAATAATAATAATAATAATAATAGATAAGTTCATCCTACCCCCCCTCCTCCAGCCGACTCAACAGCTTCTGTACAGAACTAGCTATACATATTTATAATATAGCTATACATACATAGTCAATAGGCACAGCCATTTCTCTGGCTATACCACTTTTTCTGTCCAATGATGAATATTTGAAAAGAATTGATGTAATCACTCAGTCAGTTGACCTCTGGTAGAGCAAACATGGGAGGGCCAGTGAATGGTAGACANTGTTGTCAATGACATATATATGGTACATCACAATAGTGTTGTAAACATCTGTTATAATTGACATATATACGGTACGTAACACACAAATACAAGCATGCAACACACACACACACACACACACACACACACACACACACACACACCTTTTCCAGAGTAAATTTCCTAAAACAAATTTCAGTCATGCCACGGTGACAGCATGAATTATGCAGCAAAGTGATAGAGACAATGATATCTACATTGATGTGTACAACAGTATGAAACATGCAGACTAATATTACTTTGACACAGAAAATTTACTGTGGCACTGATAAATAAGTCATATTACATAAAGTACTATTCTGATATTCTGCCAGTATACGCACTACATGTACAATTAATACACAAGACTTCATTTCAGTTATTTTGCATTTATCACACTGTACTTTTAAGAGTTGTGGGGCACTGGTCTCAAAATTAAATATTTTTTAAAGATCATTTATGTGTTTAAACAGATACTGAAAACTTTTTACCCCCCCCCCCATCTCACCTTATCAGTGTCAAATGCTGTGCGCTTACACCAGTGTTGTGCAGGCGTAAAAACAAACTTCACATTGCTCTCCTCACTGTATGGCTCCTCTTGCCACCAGTCCATCTCAATTACTTCTGCACACCCAACATCTGTCATCCAGCTCTTCAATCCCAGAGGCACAAACCACTTCAGAGACGGCCCAAACCTCTCGTTTAACTTCTTAACAGAAGTCAAATCTAAGTGGTCATAATGGGTATGACTTATCACCACAGCGTCAATCTTTGGCAGTTCCTCGATGGAACATGGTGGAGGTCTGTAGCGCCTTGGTCCTATGAATTGTACTGGTGAACATCGGTCAGAGAAGATGGGGTCGGTAAGAATGGTCAGTCCGTCCATCTGGACAAGGACAGTGGCATGACCTATCCATACAGTGCTGAGAGTGGTAGGAGATGGACCTTTGGACAAACACTCAAAGTCTGGCTTTATTACTGGCAGACGGGCCTCAATTTCCTGTTGAGAAAGAGATTTCTCTTATTTTTATCAGGTTTAATTTTTATTTCCTTCCTGACACTGTAGAATACAGTTATTATCAAGTATACATTTCATTTATTCCCGTTGGCTGACAGCCTGTCATGGTGATAGCTTTTGAGAAGTGAACACAGTATTAAAGCTAAATAGTCACTATGATGAGATGCATGAGAGGTGCAGTGAAAGTAAAAGTGGCCTATCCTAACAGCCAAATATGGTACCCATAAACTTTGTAAATTTTCTTGTCACTATATTAATATCTTTACCAGTGGTATGTTATTTACCAGAATGAACAGAAAAGTGAAAGCTCTGTGAGCTTCCTCATTAAATTGTGTATCTTTATGTAGGAACATATTTTACTTACCCTAGCTAAGGGAATAATGAGACAAATTATGACAAGAAAATGTCCACATTTCTTTACAACTTTCACTGCCTCTACGTCTGCTTACCTCTGTGGTTGGTAAAGAAGGTTTCTTCTCTTTGAAGACCATTTTCATCAGGCCCCCCAGTCCGGGGGCAGTCCAGGTAGCCCAAGGGTTGACAAACCTTCCATGTCTTTTCACTGAGGGCTGGCACCATGACTGCACTGCAAACATGAATTCATTGCAAACTCCAATATCTTCATAGAATCTTACAAAGTAAACCTTTTTTTTAAATATATTATATGATTTTTTTATTGAACACTGCATCAGAATATGATATTTTACATAGATATCATGTAGTAAATTTTGCCATTTTTAAAGACATATATTTGAAATAATTTAATTTCTTTCATTTTTTTTAAAAAGAATGCACTTATAAAAGAAAACTCTCTCTCTCTCTCTCTCTCTCTCTCTCTCTCTCTCTCTCTCAGGGCAGCAGTTGCAGGTATTNTGAGACAGACATTCATCTGTAACATTTACCTGTGTCACCTCCTTCAGCCATCTCTGGTTGTACAGCTTGCTTCAATAGGGTGTCCTGGATAAGTATCTGTCTGCAAATAATTGAAATAATCTTTATTTCCAGATAAACAATATTACTTATTTCTTTTAATATTATCTCAGTACGGCAAGTGTAAAAGCATGTGCCTGTCATTAATAACTTCACCTCTTTCACAATGAGTTCTCTGTAGAACTGCAGTATAATACAAGTTACCAAATCCTTTGTTTTGAACTGTAAACTAAAGGAATAAGACATGAAAGTTCAACTTACCCTGGGAAATACAAAAGCAGTGAGCCTGCCGCTAGTGCACAGATGTTACGTGCATGGATTCCTTTCACCATGAAGAGGAACTACAGTCCTGAATAAGAAGATGGTATAAACTGGGGATGACTACAGGCTTTTACAAATGGTTGGTGATATGCTGTACACACAGGGGCAGATCCAGGATTATTTGAACTGGGGTCCAGTTTTTTTAGGAATGACAGGTCTTGGATGCATGCAAAGCTGACCTTGGCCCCCTTGGTGTAGAGTTTGGATACAATTCAAGGCCCCGAAATATTTTGATGTTTTGGAGAGCAAACAATGCCACTGGTACGGTTTAGAACTATGATTCAGCTTGTCAAAGAGGGGGATATTGGTGTGATTTATTTTTCAGAAACCGCCACAGCCACATGTAGTAAAAATTTTTTCCTGCTTTGTGTATGGGGATTCTGCCTGTGTGTAAGTCCAAAACAACTCTGCTTTGAAAAATTTTGAACTATTTATCTTGTCATTAAAGTAAAGATACTGGTAATTCATTAGATGGGAATGATGATCGAGGCACTGCTTGATTTACAAAAGAATATAAACATTCCTCTGGACACAGATAAAGGAAAATAATACACCCAATGCAATATTTAAAATAAAAAATGTTATCACGTACGTGCATGAAGCTCTGCATGTGTGTGTGTGTGTGTGTGAGGGGAGGGGGGGGGGAGGGTTCTCTTTCCCCCAACCATGCACTCCGTTCGTACGGCTATGACTATGATATAAAATAAGTGTTTTCAATTGAAACTGTTCGTCTTTTCACTAACCTGCTTCTTTTCTTCCACACCGTGTCACGTATACCTAAACTTGCAAGTCATGTTGACCTGCTAGTATAAACAAATCAAGCGTTATGAATCACGGTCAATACTACGGGGGAAAAAATAGGTGGTAACACCTACAATAGATGGCGCTTATAAACAAGACACGCCCCTCCCCCCCCCTCCACACCCGCACGCACAAATATTTAGAAGGGAGTTGATGTCTTGATGGAAAATACGAACTGAAAAACGAATAAAATTATATAACATTTTAAAATGGTAAACGAAAAGAATGTGTCAAAATGCATATTTCGCCCCGTGCCCATGCCCCCCTTCCCTGTTGCTCTCATTAATATTAATATTAGTATTATTATTGGTATTACAATTATAATTACTTTTATATAATCATAATTAATTCATTTATTTAACATTAGTTGAGGCGAACACATAATGATGCTTTTCGCCAGCTTTTGAATTTATTTATTTATTTTTGTATATTTGTTTATCTTTATTATAGAAATAAATCTGTTTAAAAAAATGAAAAATACGAATCGAAAAAAAAAAAAAATAAATAAATAAATAAATAAAAATGAGCACAATCGGAGATATATCACAACTAACGCAATTTCTCCAGAGAAAGACTTCGGTTTCAAAAACTTGAAATATCAGCCTGCAGACCTTATCCCAGATAATGAAGACAGGATGAGCTGGGATAATATAAGATACTGTAAGATAAGATTAAGGTGCATTCAGCCATTAATATACACATTAAAATTCACATTTAACAGGGAGTTCGATAAAATGATTTCATTGGATGTAAAATCCATCACCGTTTTTTTAAAGTACACTTGTACCCTTTGTATTTCCTTTTTTAACTGTTTATCTATATAGTCTAATATACATGTTGGTCTTTCCATGTCAGTGAAGTGTTGAATTCCACCTCGGCAGTCTCATATCGCTTTACTATAGTGCCACAGATGTGAATATGCTCTAATACATGCACATATTTCTTTTGTTTCTGAAGTTATCAGCCATTTATATCAATCATCTGTCCCATGCAGTGAATTCTGAAAACATGTTTCATACTTTCCAAGGACCAGCTGGGTGTGCTGCAATACTGTGATCAGCGCATGGGGAGCTAATTAATACACCTGTAGCTATCATCATTATAGAATGAAATGAAGGCCATAATTACGAGTACTTTGGAGCATCTTGGAGTTATCAAACGAAATTCAAGAGAAGGAAGAAGGAAGAACATGTAGCTGTCAATATGCTACCAGTACGTTTTCATAATTGACAGAACGACCATAGGGTCTATCATTTGACCCCACTAAATATATATATATAAAATCAATAGTACAATTAGTTTACCCCGGTACATGTCGTACGGAAAAAACGTTCCTCATGACTGCCCCCATTGTTACTGTCCAGTCTGTTGGACACGTTGTTTATATTTGGTTACAGGCCTATCTATTCTGTATCTGTAATCAGCGTATTGCCAGATGAAAGGTCAAAAAAGGATAATGCGAAAAAAAAGATTGCTCAAATTAGACCCAAGGCGCGCCGTTAGATGGTAATCTGTGTAATCCGCCGTGCTGGTACTTTACTTCTATGCTATGTCAAATCACATATCGGATTTCCAAAGATTTGAACATGCACGTGAACACTTTGTTTAGGACGCTAATGAAGCCACTGTTAATGTTTTGCTTGCTGTGATAGATGACCGGGATATATTGATTGCATGGCTTGTCTTTTTTTCCCGTCAGAACACTCGTCTCACCATCTAGTTAAAACGTTAACAATCCAGGATTGTTATAATTAATTTACATTATTTGGTTCCATTATAAATCTCTCGTCGTGTAAATGCCATTAAACATACTACGTTTGTCACAATAAAAAAAAACATGTCACAGAAATATGAGATTATGCTTCCTTGCAAAATATGAATCCATCATTTCAATGGTCGGTGGAAGCCTTGCATTATGTAGACCTACCGGTACACCCACATCCGCACTGAAAACATGGTACCTCGTGTCGCATTTCCTTATAGATATGAGTGTTTTTTCCGATAAGCGAAAATGCCTATAATATACGTTACCGTTAAATGGTTTACATGTTATAACCCGCCTAGCTCCTACTTGATATGTGTTTGAAGCTCTCTATTTCGTTAAATTCATACACGAACATGTATATATAGATTACGCGTTTCTCTCAGCGTTGGCAGAACGTCATTAGCCTCGTGGAAAGGTCAAGGTCAGTGTTCTGAGTCTTTGGGTGACATGGTGGGGCAAAGGGCAGAGGTTCCAAAATACTTACGATGATTTCATATTGCCCCAGGGTGTGGTTGGCCTGGGGGCCGGGGTGGACTGGGGTGGGGTGGGGTGGGCCTGGCAGTAGGGCGTGTTCGGGCCATCATTCTAGATCAACCTTACCAGAAATAAATTAATTATCTGAGCAAAATTTGGGACAAGGTCAACAAAGACAGCTTGTGTTTTAAGGAGGTCAGTGGAAGTTCAGTTCACGAGGCCTGCTGATAACACAGGCGAGTTGCCACACCGTCCAGGATCCCCTTCGGGCAATCCTGGTAAACCTTTAATGGCTATCCTAACCTAGCTATTAGTACCTGGACTAACGAGATCCTAGGGGGGTTCTCCTATTATATTATATTTTTGTACATGTAGCAGTGCATCTCTAATCTATCAAAGTACGCTATGTTTCAAGGGGAGCTCATTAAATAAAACAATCAATCAGAAAACACGCATGTACGCATAATGGTACAGCGAGATATGAAGTGGAGCGGAAGGTTTCTCCTCTATCTTATAAAGCCAAAGTGTGCTCTTGCGTGAGTGACAATTCTACAGAGTTGTAATAAATGGATCCACGTAAAGGTATGCTTTTGTATTTTATTGATTCGTGACAGAAAAAATAGTCCAGTTGAGATGATATCCAGCTCTACACATTGTTTTTAAACAGCTTCCCGCTTTTATTTCCACAGGTATTATATACTGTATATGCGTTTTAGGCCTTGTTTTGGGTATCAAATAAACACAAAGATTTCATATACAGTATGCAGTTATTCTGCTAGTAAAATGTCGAGTTAAGTATTGTATCATTCTATCAGTAACTCTGGTGGGCAGTGCATTGCTTTGAATTCAGATCCAGTTGTCAAGATGATGGAAAAGCTAGAAATGAAAAGTAAAATTACCATTTAATTTTTCATTTACAAAAATAAATAAAATTGTTATTTGGGAATTTATAAATAAATAAATGCAGTTGTGGTCTCCTGCAAGAAGAGATACATATGGTATAAAGATGGCGGGGATATGGCTTCATAATTCTTACTAACAGAAAAAAGATATTTCTTCCTTATAAGTGATGGTTTGCCTTTCTCGATACCTTCCATGATAATTTTTAAAACATGGGTGAGGGGTTGTTAAAGTACATTTCAGTACACGAGCAGAACGACTGGAGTACGTGGACGTTGGGAACCAAGAAAAGCGTCGGACGCAAAACAACTGATCAAATCCCTTGGTTAATATTTCACACTAAGTACTTGTCCCTCGAGTGTTAAAGCGTAAAAATTGGAGGAAAAAACAGGAGGCTCCTGAAACACATGCGTTCCGTTCAATTGAGGTACGTTACGTACGTTATTTCTAAAGTACATGTATAGGCACAATTACAAAATAAATGTAATTGTTTCTGAAGTGTAGCGAACCAAATTGTCCCCAAAGTGGGCTTTGATCTTCTAAATAAAAGGAACCGAAATGTACTTTACATCTGCCTGTCCTTCAGACATGAAGTCAGTTAACCTTTACTAGAAAACTGGTAAGGCCCATATCTCTCTCTCTCTCTCTCACTCTGTGTGTGTGTGTGTGTGTGTGTGTGTGTGTGCGCGCGCGCGCGCCCGCGTGTGCGTTGTTTGACTTTTGAAATAAAGGGCTGACATAAATAATGAATAATCAGTTTTGGCTTGTAATGTAAAAAAGTGCGACCATAAAAGATACTCCCATTATATATTAAATATCATATCAAAGGCACTGATTTGCAGAACAATCCAATTCTGAAGCATTCAGATATAGCTTTTGGCCTTTTAAATTTCCAGATCGAAAATACGGTTTCAGCAGGTCGCACTTGTTACATGAAAAGACTGAGTCACATTTTCTATTTTTGACTTGCTACACGTACACTGTACATTATATACTTGTATTTGTGAGGGTTAACGCTGCTATAGAAGTACTGATGGAGCTCCTGGAATGTAGAACTTGTCGAGGCCAAACACATCTTTGATTTGGCGGATTGTTATATGACAAAATTGATCTTTGTAGCATGATATTGCATGACAGTGTCTTGCCAGATACAGAGGACAAAAACATCTTTTGTTGAAGCAATTCTCACAGCTCGCCAATGTCGTTGTTTAATGCCAGAAATAAACATATATCTGAACAGTTGCATAAATATCGAATTGCAATATGCTGAACATGCAAAGTTCTTTCCTGCAAACCCTTCATAGCAGTGATGGAAGAGTATAATCGTTAATAGATTGAGCTTTAAAATATCTACGTGTTTCGGGAATAAAAAGCTTTGTGTCCAGTAACAACTTCACCCACTGATTGGTAACTGACCAGCCGAACAGGAATGTTGGTATAATCTCCACAATCCGGTGTGACAGGAGTGGTAGTCCGCTAGGAACTGTAGTCCGCCTCCCATTTCTTTGTAAAGATGGCATTCATCCCATATACACTAACCCCAAAACTCCCACTAATCCTGACATGTACTCATCATATGTGACCCCGGAATTCCATTCCTACGACTACCGTTCCCGTCACACCGAGTCATTAGGAGTACGGTGACAACAGGAAACAGACGCTTTAACCATGACCTCCTGCTTAAGGGGGGGGGGGGGGGGGCATCTGAACTAAAATCATCATCTGTTATATATTTAGAATTGACGGTACTGACGATGCCCTAAGCAATCTCTTTTTCGCCGACTTCATTTAGACATATATTTTAAAAACAACGCATTGCCGCAGCTGGTATCTAAGTAGAGCTTGGTAAGATCATAAACAGGGCTTAATTGGTCCCGAGTTAGACCTATCAACAACACATGCGAAACCCATGGTAATAAACAAGTATGGTGAAGTCCAATAGTCCATGTCTGTCCCCAGAAGGTCACCAACTGCACTGGACGTGTATGTCCCCAGAAGGACATCAACTGCTTTTACTGATCTTACGGGGGGTGGAAATAGCAAGACTAATGTTCTTTCATACTCCTTATTTACTGCTTCCCAGTTCCCTTCTTTCCATTTGTCTCTCTTTGCTTCATTCAGTCCCAGCTTACGAAGTTCACCCCGTTCACATTTAAATTGCATTAAATGTAACACGTGTAGACAGGGGTCAGTCTTATTCTTTGCGTTCATCACACCCACGCCACTTTTGGAAAATTATGACATAACATAAAATAATCAATAAATAAACTTTCGAAATTGAAAAGAATTTGGCTTTTAAACCTACCAATTTAAAGTGTCTCGTTTTAAACAATTCCTGAACGAGATTTTCACGGATTGTAATGGTATTTCAGTAAGTGCCATCCTTTGAGTTGCCAGCACCTCTCCCAACGGGACTTAATTTCATCTTTCACTTGTCAACAACGATATAATTACGCCTCTTTCCAAGAATTCTCAGCATCCATGATTTTGGTGGCAGAAGAACTAATCTGTACCATCCGCCTCTAAACATGCGTTCATTAACACGCTCCATCAGTTGCACTATTTGTAATCTGATAATGAGCGTCTCATTTGTAAAATATGGCAATTCTGAAAATAAAATAGCTAAGTCTAAGGACCCAAAATGAATTACGTTAGGACATTGAAGTAGACAAGACTCGATCACATGCCTTATCTGTTCTCTCTTTTACATGTTTAGTCTTTGACGTTTTTGATGTTTCTCCGACAAAAAAGAACCCGTTGGAACCCATAATATACCCTTGAACTTGGTAAATTATTATCAAGTGCGTGTTTGTAATGACAATAAAAAACTCAGATATGACAGAAAATACTTTGTTTTACGTGTAGTCCCGTAAGATGTTATCCAAAATTGGACCTGGAAAAATATGAACAAGCAGTTGAAGCTGACAGGGGAAATAAATGAAAGGAATCCATTTGAATAAAGAATTTCGCTTCGATAGCTCGGCCTGTAAGATACATACTTGTAGCAAGAGAACTGTTTTATACATTTCCTATAACGAACACAAATTACATCTACCAGTTACCTACACACCTCCAATAAATTCAATTGTCAAATAAATAAATAAATAAATACATAAATATATTGACTTCATCGCTCTGTCAGCAAAAAGGGCTTTTGAAATTTGATCTACATGAACTTTTTCCTCCGGTTTGTTGAAGCACAGGAAGTGAGCAGGAAATCTGCTCAAATATCATTTGCGGGGATTCCTTATGACACTCTGTGGCATTGCTTTCAGTTCTGCTATTTGAAACCGTTTGGTGGTATTTGGTTAGATGTAGCAGCAATAATTTAACTTGCCTGCTCACTTAATATGTACCTTGAAAAACGCATCCACTGTGATAAAAATGTGATCATCGACTTTCTGTTTCTGTAAATCTTGGTCTGATATATGTTTGTGTACTTTGGTGTAAGCCCTTGGTTACGTTTTGCCGCTTTCTTTAATAGATGTGGCATCGGTATATTCCTTAAAAAACACGGGATTCAATCCAGTACCTGTACCTAACCGAAGTACAGGACGTTAAGGTCATATACTCTGAAATATATCATTATGTGACCTAGTTTTAGTTCGTCTTTCATTTCATATTTTTTTATCAGTCCATCATACCTGGTATCCTAACGGACAAAACCGATCATAATAAGATGTAGGGCCGTCATTGCACTGCGGCCCCAAGGAATGCATCTTGTGCAGTGTATGTTGTGACAAGAAACAAATAAATGCGTTACGTGGACACAATGCTGTTTATTTACAGGATAAGTGCAGTTTTACAGAAGAATGTGTACATATTGTGAGTATCCGCTAACATAGAATATACATGTAAATGATACTGAATAAAACCACGTCGCTGTCTTTTATATCACTGGCGATTTATATGTATATCAACCCCTGGGTTAAAAAGTATTCAAAATAACTATTGTCCATTATTCGTGACTAATCATTGCTTGCATAAAAATGGCTCTTTCACATACCGCCCTCTGAGAAAAACTTAAAAACTGAATATGATGACTATTAGGGTTAGTAGCGACTTGGCCCACATACAAATTCTGTGGGCTCAATTTTTGTCTTTTCTCCACTTTTGTGACGTCACGAGACCCGCATCGGGCCGTCACTTTGCTAACTGTAACCTCTATGATATATATATACAGCACATGTGATTTTTTGGCCGTGCAGCTTCCACATAGTACAATGGCAGTGGATTCTATTCTGTATTTATCGTGTCCCTGCATGTTAAAAAACGAAGTTAACAATCGTGAAATATACAATGAATAGAATCTTAAGACACACCCCATATTAATAACACGGGAACATGTACAAGATATACATTTTATAAGATCACACACAGTGATGCGTGTGCATTCAAAACCGTCTAAAAATTTACAAAAAGAGGTAAATATTATCACTAACATCAAAACATAATTGAAATTAAGTTATTTTAAGACATGAGAAAAGGTCATGCATTTTAATTCGTACCAAAATGTAAGTAGTTGGTGAAAATGGAATGGGTGTTAAAGCGTTACAAAATATAGCTCAATATGAGTCGGGAATGTCGTCAAATGTCAAGACTAAACATAGAAACTTAATTAGTTGCATTTCAAAGTGATATATATATATATATATATATATATATATATATATATATATATATATATATATAAATAAAGAGAGAGAGAGAGAGAGAGAGAGAAATTTCTAATAATGTTGAAAGATGGTATTGAGCTTCGTAAAATAACGCAATTTGGGAAGAAGACTTAAACAGGCATTTGGTAGGATACAATCCGGTGCAATATAGGACATTGTTGCAATATCAAAATCAATTTCAAAGAGTACTGCCATAATCCGTGCTTGAAATATCTAGGGCTATAAATATCAATTAGTATCTTAAACGTTTTCACAAACCCATATTTCAAATGGTTGCCATAAATGTTTTTTCTTTAATCCCGTGGCACTGAATCAAATCGATCAGCAACTATTAAAACCACCCTAACAAAGGGCTTAACAATGGTATTTGTAACTTCACAATAAGCGCATATTTCAGCGTTATGAAAGTATTTTGGATATCGACTTACTTGTGTTCATGCGGTAAGGTTTGATATGTACTAGATGTCCCATGTCTATTTGTTAGTGTGTATGCTGAGATGACATTTAATGTGGACAAACCTAACTATTGATTTTAAATCTTACACGCAACGCAGAACACATGTCAAAGTGACACCCGTTTGGAATGTCAACCCTGCCGTACGGTACTTCCTGTGACGGTTTCTGATGGCATTTTTCAAACAGTAGAAACGCATTCATCTTTCGTATCGGCGCAGTGTGATTCCGTCACTGTCTGATTGACCACTGTCCACTCACGTTGTGGGGCTTTGGTCAAAGGACCTCCGCACCTGCAATTGCAAAACCAGTCCCATAGACCAAGACGAAACCGTTTGGAGGCCGCGACGAACAGCATAACATTTAAGGCGTAGTGAGTCAGACTGACAAGATGGAGCCAGGAGTCTATGAATCTTTCTGACTCCGAGGCTGGGTACGTGACTTCCGTCTTCAGTCTGACTCCGTGCCAAGGCAATGACATAATTAGATACAACACTGTCACGAGTAAGGCAACGTTAATTAGGCCTCTTTGGGGTACAATCTTGAGTCGTTTCTCAGATTCGTCGATTCCAACGTGGTTGTCTTCAACTGATTCTTTAGATTGGCAACGACTGTTTGTTGTCAGTCCCACGCTGCTTGGTCTTTTATTCGCCGCGGATAGTTTCTTTTTAACGAGAAAGTATACTGACAACACAGTCAAACCAATCATCAGAAGGTCTGGGATTACGATTACTATCGCCAATTCCACTTTTACCATGATTGATAAAAAATCCGAATGGTAGTAAAACATTGGGACACAAAGATGACGATTTTTCCCGGACATCCACGTCCAGTAAAGATTCAGTATGACGGCCATCACCGCCAGCACTGTGATGTAGCATTTACTCCTGAAAGTGCTGCATGTTTTGTTAAACTTCGGCTGGCGACTGAGGCTGAGATATGTGGAGGTTATGGCTGCACACAAGTACCAGGCTGACAACATATTGCAGGTATAGGACGTGTACACGATGATCTGACAGACGCCCTCTGGGATGTTGATGTCTGGCTGGACAGTGGGCAGCCATTGCAGTGTGGACGCAGACAGAAACCCTATGTCCACTGCACATTTAGCCGACAGGTACTGGCTGATTGCGAACTTCCGCAGGTGCTTGCTGCGAGATAGGATGATGGCGGGCAGAAGACTACACAGTATTCCCAGGCTGCTCACTATCGCTCTGTAGTTTTGTGAGGTTGGCGAAAGACAGTTCCAGCAATTTGTTATATCTTCTTCTTGAAATGCTGAGCCATTAGGGCCCTTTGAACTGTTCTTCTGCCAATCCGAATAGTTCATAACTGGATCATCTACGAATACAAATGGCAGTAAATATCTCGTCTGGTTCTGTTGGTGTTTAACTGGAATTATTAAAAATACATATGATAATAGTTATCACATTCTACCAGTACATTATGGAAAGTCTCAGTTTTTCTCCTAGTCTTTCTCTCTCTCTCTCTCTCGTCACGAAACGTGTAACGATGTTATATAATCACCATGCCTACAAGTTGAACTTCCGAATCCTGAAAACCACACAGGAATTTACTCATATAGCATTGCATGCGGCTCCTGTGATCACACAGTTCCAGAAATCAGCAAACACCAGTGACACGCCCTGCCCTATCAACTTACATCTCCGCGGCAAAAACTTCTCGAATTATAAACATGAAAAGCGTATATTACAAACTAAAACGTAAGAGTAGCTGTATGTGCGTGTTACGTTCTATATGGTAACACATTGCGAACCATATTGGCCTATAGGAACTTTCAGAATTGCGATACACCTTTTGAATTAACACATCAATATTTTCTTCAACTTTTTTTCATTTATGCAGTCCCCTTTCCTTTTCTATCATTTTTTAAGATCATTTTTATCTTCTAATTGCTTATAAATTTATATTTGGCCGTTAACAACGGTATGTGATGGCGATATATATACTATTATATATAATAAAAAGACAAAAAAAGTACGACAATTAAGTTACAGTACCTCTGCAGCTGCCATTGTCGTACTAATGAAATGTTCGCGTGAGACATGCGAGGTCTTCCAGCTCGTGCAGCTAGCAGCTAAAAAACACTACTGTTAATGATAAGGTCTAGCATTAAATGGGTATATTCAGCCTGAGATAATAGGATAACCCTTCTTAATTTTGAGGTTTATACATTTATCCTGTAAAATTTTCACAAAGATTGCCTTTACTTAATTTTGTTATGTAGGTCTCAGTGCAATCTTCTCTATCTTCGAAAGAAGTAAACTACAGTAAGTATAGATGTAACTGAAATTCTGACTGGTGTGATTGTCAACAGTTTTCCAGGAATTATAACGGTGCTTTCCATTTAAATATCAATACGCCTTAAAATGAAAAGTAAAATTGAAATCCAGGTGCACATGCGGAGTTTTCATTGCAAGTCTAATATTCCTCGAGAAACAAAGAGAAGTTTTATATCCCTAAGGCCATAGCATTTAGATCAGGCAACAATTTGCTTCTTTCTTGTTGTGAGTGGGAAAATGAAAGTTTGTGGTACACTGGGATGGAGGAGACATAAAACCACGTGTATCCTTGCCAGGATTCACTGCCTGCCCCGGCCCTGCACTCGGCGTCAATGTGTTGTGCCATTTCTTATTAACTTGGTTATACATAAATAGTCATTCCTATAGATTACCACGTCTTTCAGCATTTAAGAAGGTAATATCTATATCAAGTTTTTTGTTCATTTCAGGAGTTTTACAGCATTAAGGAATTAGGAAAGTTTATTAGATTTGCATGACATTTCGACGTAGGGCAGCTTCATAAGCGCACTCAGGTTGACTTAAGATTTTATACCGACACTCGGCGCATTATCTACAGACAAATCGACAGTTTACTTGTAATATAATTTGAGTGTGCCCTGGTCGTTTACCTCGAATGAGGATTGTTATATTTCAAACAGGTTCTTCTAACCGATGTTTATTATAAAGCCTACCTACTGTTCTACAATTACCATAAGGCGTATGTTAGTCTGTATTGCTATGGTATCCAACCTTTCAAGTTATGTAAACCATCGATCATTTGGAGACAAAACACCTTAAAAACAACACAGTTAAGTTATTTTATGTCTTCAGTTTTAATTCTACAGATTAGACAGGCAGAGGCCACAAATCAACGTTAACATTGGCTGCACGCGGCTTCTCATTGCTCGACATACAGGGCAGTGTCTGAGGTCATAACCAGGGCCCCTTATTATTTTTCTACTCGAGGGACAGAGATAGCGGGAAAGACATTTTTGCGTTTAAAATAATTAACTTTTTTATTTGATCTTTTTTGTGTGCCGTCCGACACTGTTAGTCAGATTGCATGCTGAAGTACTAATAAGAACACAAAGGTTCACGTTATCCTCGACCCAAATGGGACACGGCGCCATTACGATGATGAGAGTACCCCTTGTCAATACATTTGATTCCAAGAGATCCAAATCGTAAGTGTAATTAAGGTTAATGGTGGTTTAAGTCGCTTGGTGATAATTCATTACTAGTGCCCTAATCTCCATTACAGGACAGCGGCAGCACCTCACGCCATGGTGTCAAGGGTTCCACAATGTACACATCATCTATCAGTCAGATTCAAATTAGGTTGAATAACATCATCCAACTTATTCCCTGTATGATAATTGTAAGGGCAATTTTCATAAATCAATACAGCACTAAAAAAACCACCTGCGTAAATTCGATCACTTGGTTCATCCTGGTCGCTCGATGAAAGGATTCTTTGAGTTAGTTTTCTTGTCAAGATTTAGCTAATTCCACTGATTTCTGTGGTGTCGAGTCCTACAGGGATTCATTCATATTCATTACGAGGGCAATTTTGTTTCAAGGAAAATAGATAAAAGATAATTAAGAAGCATTAAGGCTACCTTCTGGACACGTTTGCTTTNAAATTTCAGAAATCAATACAGCACTAAAAAAACCACCTGCGTAAATTCGATCACTTGGTTCATCCTGGTCGCTCGATGAAAGGATTCTTTGAGTTAGTTTTCTTGTCAAGATTTAGCTAATTCCACTGATTTCTGTAGTGTCGAGTCCTACAGGGATTCATTCATATTCATTACGAGGGCAATTTTGTTTCAAGGAAAATAGATAAAAGATAATTAAGAAGCATTAAGGCTACCTTCTGGACACGTTTGCTTTAACTGAAGTCATTAACATCACAGTAAAAAGGACCGTGTGTAGACACGCTACTGGATAATCATTAGGAGCCTCTCCACGGTATGGAGGATTCAACTGTATGAAAAATATTAACCAGAAGTTTCTGATTTCATCACAACATTATATCGTCACTTTTCGCACAAGCAGAAAGCATTTGCGCATGCCAACACTTTGGTCTAGATTGGATCAATCTAGCATTTACTACTACTAGATCAAAACAACTGGCCTGTTCTGCCCATATTAAACAATAAACTATTCTAATAAAAAACAAATCCCATGCTGATATGTGGATGGCAGGATACCGGGTACTACACGGATCTTCAGGTGCACGCAGCACATGGGAATTACTGGTGGCAAAGAGAGACGTAGTAGCATGGCAAAACAATAGAAAAATATCAGCGAGCCAAGAACAAGAACGTTCCAAAGAAGGAGATTCTAAAACATACTGTAAGAGCCCGAGCCTTGAAGACTACCTCACTGCCATCAGAACAATAGATATGTCACACGAATGAGCTGTTGTAGGATATTGAGGTGTTGCAGCTTTTAGTTTAAAAAAAGGTTCTCAATTTCTTTTTTTCTGTGGGAGTTGTTACGTAAAATGAAACCTGCCTTGTGTCGTGTGTCTGGTGCCAGACAACAGAGCCTGAGGCAGAGTCGCCAGCCATCTGGTACACAATGTGCCCCGCACTGAACGTGTGGGAACCGCGAAGACCCTGATGTGGTTGATATTTCAAAGTCTAGAAAAAAACTCGTGAGGGGAGGGAGGGGGGGGGGGCATGGGAGGGAGGGGGGGGCATGGGCGGATTTAGGCTGTCTTCTGGGTCTTCTAGAAGACGGTCAGATTTTCAAATTTACATTGACGGGTATCTATTTTTTTCTGTCGGAAGACGGTCAAAAATGTAGGATGGATCAACAAAGATAATTTAGAAGACTGTCCGAAAATATCTCTAGATCCGCACCTGGGGGGGAGGGGGGGGGCTGTGAGTTGTTGTGTCTCTCTCGGGCCCAGGGCCCTTTACTGGGGGGTTTCAGTAACAACCGATAAAATAGGCCAGGTACGTTGTGTAACCTTGTCACCATTGTGTGGGCACATCTAGACAACCTCAGTTGTCACTTTCGACGCCTTCCTAAACCAGTAAGCACTCTGCCACTTCTTAGCTTTACAACAGACGAACGCTTGTTTGGTTGATTAAGGCCGTTTGTGGCGTCTGTTCTAGACCAAATAAATAAATTAATAAATTAAAAAAAAAATACAAAATTTAAAAGCAATTGCTTTTAGAAAAATACTTCATTTTAATCGGCGCTTTAAACAACTAATGGTCAATTCCACTGTTTTGTCCTATGGATTTAATGGTTTTAAATTTATCACTAAATAATAAAATAGTAAATCAATACGAATAAAAACCCCTTTAAAGTAGTTTCACACTATAGGGAAAACTGAGAGACATATAGGCCTAACTAAACCGTGCCACAGCAAATACAACCCGTATATTTTTAGTGGAAATTATAAGCATTTAGATCAAAGAAAGTATCAAGTTGAATTTATTATAGATGAGGTCGTGGCTTAATTGAATAGTACCGACAAGAGAGAGCACGCAAACAGTTTAAACGTTTTATATTACCACTGTATTTCCGTAGTTTCAAAGAGCATTCCATTAGAGGCAGTGTTATGCCTTTTGAACGTCGGTGAAAAAGGTTCATGGTGAGCCACATTTAATTCGAACGGCAAATATGAAATAGTTGACAACTGTGCCATATGGGACGGACGGATGGAAAACTGCTTCATTTTGTCCCATTTTGCTTCGTCTAGGGCAGGGGGTGAATGAGCGGAAATGAGCTTCCTCCTTAACTGCGGGTGGGTGAGGATTAAGGTCGCTCCCATACGCCAAACAGTAGACGCGCCATAGGCAAAGTTACATGCCCAGATCTTGCATGACAGTGTCAGCTCTTAAATAATCCAAGTCCTCATTTCGCTTCGAAGGTCGTGGTTTCAGATAACATTCGTTCAATCTTAATGATAAGAATACATTTTGCCTGGAGCTATAGTGCCACCCGACACTGAACCGTATACTTAAACCACCTTTTGTCAGAGTTACAAAATGAAAATCTTCGCTGCAATGTTTTGAACAGTTTATAATTTCTTTGCTTGTAGACATGTTGACACTCAAATACCTACAGAAATAGCCACTAATGCTTTACACAATAAAATCAAGAACGCTGCTTCAGTTCCTTTAGATCTGTAAAAGTATGCAATCTGCCAATCAGACAAATACAAAGACGGTCAAGAGATCAGTATCTTCTCATTTATTCTTTGCCGCCAGCTATCAACGTCTGACGAAGATACGTATAATGATATATTGTATAATGATATATTATATATCTGATATATATTGTAGTATTATATAGTACGGTGACTTGTAGGCCCATGAGGCCGGGTGAGGCTCTCACATGTCACGTTAATAAATAAATAAAAATATAAACTCCATGCATTATATAAATAATAATAAATTTCATTAATAATAATTTTAAGTAATTAATTTTAAGTAATATGACACATTTGTTAACAGGATCTCTCGAAGATTCCTCTAGCCTAACAGAAACTGCAGAAGTTTTCCTTCAAAAGCGAGGTATTAATTCCAATAATCCGTCATGAAAGTCTCTACATATATCGCCTAAACTATTGTTTCCATATCAATGCGTGCCATCGCCCCATTTTATAACGATTAATCATAAATCATAAGTGTGAATCACGTGTGATTAAGCAAACAGGATAGACAATACTAAAGTAGCAAATGGCGTTTAAACAGGCTCAAGTCAATCAGTGGAAATGACTCTGGTATAAATCAAATAGCGGTGCTCCCTTTGTTTCTGAGGCGATATCACAGTAGAAATCATCAGTAATCATGCAAGTAAGGAAAACGAGCCACACCAAAGAACAGTTTGAGCAGTTTGATCACAGCATCAGACAGTTGAGTACTGTGTAACATGCAATTCACTGTGAAGATTACTGATGTATTTATTCCGGAGGTATCCATTATTCGCACTGTGGAAACCAAGTAAAATGGTCGGTAATTATGGACGCCAATGATAAGACGATCTGGCCTTGGCTTGTATTGACATAGTTGTTAATTCTGCAGCCAACGTGTTCATATTTGTCATGGGAAGATTTCATTCCGGAGAAAGGACATAATTTGCGTCAAAATACTGAAATAATTTAATTCTAGTGTCTGATATGTAAATTCCTTCCTGTTAAACCGGCAACAGATTCCAAACACGTGTATCTACGTTTTTTTTTTCAGTGGAAAGATGTGCATTATAACTTAGTTTGATTTTTATCTGGCTGCATCCCTTCACAGTACGTATTCTGCTCCCGACCCTGGATACTTACTTTATACTTAGTAGAAATTAGCTCTACAACATAGCACATGTCCAGAAGACTTAACTACAAACGTATATAACCTTGGATCTAACAGAATGTTATTTAGTTTGGGTCCTAGACATAACTGAATTATTTTTGTCACCAGCGAAAGTAAAAAATCAAGAGACGAAATTATTAGCAAACCTCAGTTTAAGAAATAAAAACTGTTTTTTTATTTACAACTGGACCTTGCTGTCCATTTTTACTTAGGTTGTATCCGCAGTGGCACAGTGAAATATAACAACTGGCACGGCCCACGGCATAAAGGGGGGGTCACAAGTTTAGACGACATCATTTCAGTGGGGGAGAAATACACAGAGGTTTCCAGAGTAAAATCGGACTTATGGTTTTTGATTTGAAACCAGAATCGTATTTTAAGTCATTTTAGACAAGAAGCAAATAATCTTGCACTTACTTCCGGTAAGGCGCTTTGGGCGTTAACCAAATAAGCACGTAAGTCTTCTACAACGCTATGCCTGGCAATGTGTGCCTAGACAACACATAACAACGGCATCAACTGTCAGTTATACTAGACGCCTCTAAGGTGTTGGATATAAGATGTGAAATATGGTTTTATTTGCGTGCTAATCGAGTTCGGGTGGCATTTCGTTGCAAATAAAAGTGGTAATAGACTGACGGTATCTGGAAAATGAATGTCAGATCAGCCGTATCCAACATAACTCAACGTAAAGCTGTGAGGAAAGGTTAGAGACAGGGAAATGGTTCAAACTGACGACAGTCCACGCTGTCTTATAAAACACTGCAAGAAAACCAGATTTGAGATTTTAAAAAATTAAGTTGCTGTTGAATAAATGGTGGAAAATAGCCCTGTCGTTTTATTAACATTAACATTAAAGGCTTGTTAAATTGTCATAATAGCCAATGTGTTAATAAAAAAGAAAATTATCAGATTTATTCCCAAAGGATATCTGCCATTGAGATAAGTTACGGCATAATTTGCAGAAATAAGTAATTTCGTTTTTGAAAGAGTTTTTTTTCGTAATATCTGTGATCTTACACATGGCTAAATCGAAACAAAATAAGCGCCAGCATTCTTGAAATCCAAGTATTAACACAATATGGCTGAATTGAAATTGGAAGGAAACTTACTCGACAGTGCATCGGAGGCTAAGCAATTAACCGACGGCAGGAGAAATGAAGTTTTCTTTCCATCTTTTTTTAATCATTTGATCATCTTATCACGTCGGCTTCGAGTAATCACCGACGGCGTCCTTATCGAGGAGAAGGGAGGCATCGCTGAATGATAAACTTTGATATGGCTCGATTGAACCACAGCACGCAGACTTGGTCTCCTGCAAGTTATCACTAGCCATACACCTCTCTCTCTCTCACACACACACACACACACACACACACACACATACATACACATACACATACACAAACGCACGCGCGCACGCATAAACACACACACACACACACACACACACACACACACACGCTGAAATAATCCACGGGTAAACGAGAGAAGTATTTCTCTATGAAATTCAATTGATTTTACTAAATTAAATGGATGAAATGATAATTTTAACAACTACAACTTTTTAAACCAGAGTAAAAAAATGCACGCTGTACATAAGATATTTAAAGTAATAAAAAGAATAACCAGTCGTTGACATTAAAAGAATACGGTTTTAGATTACGCTTGTTAATCACGAAATGACGACAGATAATATACTTTATAACTGCCAAGAAGAAACCATCGCCAATCAATGGTTAGATAGGAAATCTAAGACAAAGAACTAATGAAAAAGATTAGAACGTATCTAGCGACATATTCTATACACCCGTTCACTTTAGACGGCGCTTATGATATCGATTTCGATTCATTTCCTTCCAGAGATATTGAAAAAAATACTCGAAAAAAAGTACGTTGGCATCGCTATCATTACTGGTTCAAATAAAGTGCACACACCCTCCATAAACAATGTTATATATACACGATATATACACGATATATCTGTATCGATCTTTAAAAAAACTTGAGTGCCTTCTATCAGCTGACAGGAGAGCCATGTTTATAAGAATCTTGTCAGCTCCAAATGTACGACCAATTAGTTCTTAAAATGTAACCAACATTGCCGTGTATCTATCTTACCTTCTCAGGTCTGGTCTGACCACGCCTTGTTTATCAATGGTAAAAACGTGAAGTGAAGCACTGTTGATCAAATGTCTAGTGGACTGATTACGCCCCGCAGCAACGCTCTGCGCTTAATCCTGATCCCGACTGCGCGGGTGATACGTTTTACCTGGAATTAGAAATAGAAAAGCCGTGTCACTGCTCTATGCCGAACTACTTATGAACGACACACGTTTTTCTTAGAGGGTAATCCCAGAGTTAAGAATTTGTGTAACTCTGTGAAAAAGATCCCTACGCTTAACAATTTCATGGTTTAATCAAACGCCACAGAAATCGTTTCAATTACGGCGTGAAATGAGCAATACAAGATAACGATGGCACGCACCGTCAGATCAGAACAATTCTCAACACGACAGTCGAAGCTGACATTTCCGTGATTTCATGAAAACATCAGCATTCAAAATAAATTCCGATTTTCAGCATCTCGTATTGATTGCCTCGGCTCCTCGTGGCGCAATCCCTGAATATTCGCTGCATGAGATCCTCGTAATGGCCAAAGCGCAATCTCTCTCTCTCCCACACCCATTTATATATGTTTTCATATAACCGTATCTTTGGCGTGCCCTGCGAATACTCTCTCTTCACATCTCTTCACCAATTTACACCGTTCTCTGAGTGTTTTTCCTGGAAACTCTGGCGTGGTCTAGTGCAAAAATAAGACATACTTCGCTTATGTGTTAAGGACGCTGCGCTCGAAGTCAATACAACCCACCTCCTTACCCAGTACTCACGAAATACTAACTAACAAACAAGTCTCCGCCGGATCAGTGAAGATTCCACCCACTGCCAGGTTGTTGCAGTAATTAAAAAACCCGCTGACTAAAAATTCCTGTACTCACCGTCTGATTATAAAGTTGACGAAAGCAAAAGATAAATAACAACATATTAACACTAAACCGCCCAATAAATTATGGTTTCTACATGTTTTTTTTTATTCGGAATTTGCTGAGGTGCGTGGACCTGCTGTTAGCAACAGTCATTGCTGAATTGTTGTTGCCCTCAGATGTAATACCATACAAAAATTAAAATCTTATTTGAATTTCTTACAAAAATACTCCACCATATTATGGTTCAATTAACCACAGAGGTGACTTATTGTGTGTCTCTATGTGATAAGTTGACAAATGCTGATCTCAATCCCCTTTGATTACAACTATAAGAACCTGCACTGTGCGGCAGATAGTAGTAAAATGTTGCCCAAGTCATCCTTACCCGAGTCCAGCTTGGGGTTTCTTAACTGTGTTTGCAGTATCTGTCACGGTCTGTAAATGAGTTATGGTGATTTGGATATGGGCTATGGTCTGCTGTGGCCCATTTTATCTCATGTCTGCCCACCGAGTGTCCGCTTGGGAATCTTCCTGGAAAGAAGCACCAGTGCTTGAAAACAAACATATGTGGTGGCCGCCGTTACTTTTGTTAATATGCCCAAATGAGAGCGATCAAGATAACGAACGCCGCTTTAACGAGGCGTCGAATTGGTACCCGGAATTCCAACGTTAAGTGGAAGATATTCTCTTTCTGGAATACAACCGAAGCAGGCAGGTTGTAGGGGTTAGTATTCAGTTAATACCAGTGATCGTTGGCTGACACCACCATCCATAACATGCTTGGACAACAGGCTTTTCCGTTGGGACCACGAAATCTACAGTCAGAATACTTATGTGGACGTTATTATGTTACTGAAAAGCCACGCAATTATTCAACCAATTAGTTGTCTTACAATAAATCTTCTTTGATTCATCCCAGAAATATTCCGATGTTTGCCTCATGTTGACGACCTTTTTTCCCAGACAGATGTCTTCCATTTTGTCGTGTCAGTGACAAAATGTGCTGCGTGGTCTCTTGATAGTTTTTTTTTCTTATTTTAATAATTTTTCGTTCATGCCTTGCCTCCCACTGTGCGGATATTAATTATCATGTCTGTCAACTTCAGCTGCGCCTTTTCAGTTTTTACCATTATAATTTCTTTGCATGACCTAAACATGTTCATTTGTATGAATGGATCGACCATTCACTCAAATCGAAATTGAAAATTCAAAGGGAGATTTGTAAGTGTCCGGGGTCTATTCATGGCACCATAAGCTGCACAGAAACCGGATCACGCCAGGTCTTTTTACACTATAAGATGTCAAATCTCTGCTTGAATTTGATTTGGTTCGGTTCAGCGTTTTAAGACGGCTAAAATCAGATCGTAGATTACGCACAGTCTCCCATCGTGATTTAATTTACCAGTAGGAGCATTTCACAAACTATTGCTCAAAAATAAGTCAATGCGACACACGGAGAGATGCTGGTGTAGCCACTGGGAGGAAAATCCGAGTCAAGAAAACAGGAATTAACCTGTTGTTTGGATGATTCGGGATAAAAATCATCAATTACATAAGATGTACAAAGTATAATAATAATAATAATAATAATAACATGGCATAGCCTACTCAAAAAATAAAATAAAATAATAATAATAATAATTACAACAATGATATTTTATTTTTTGTACTTTCGGTTGGGCTTTAATTCCAGCCTTAAACAACAATGTCTCATTTTGGTTTCATTAATATTCTACTGAAAGACGGGCCAAATACAAGAGTAACGAAATATTTTTCCGCAACCAGCCTTGATTCTACACGTAACGGGGCATGCTTTCACAGTTTTGAGTTTCCTCTTAATTCACCATTAAAACTGTGGCCATGTGCTCACAAAACATGGTGTTCTTGAAAAAATACAAAATTCGTAATTATTAGAAGCCTTACAATATTTTAAACATTAAAAGTGTGTTAGCAAGCTACAGGTAACACCTAAATCTAGTTACGATGCTGCAATAATTAGCATAGGTATCCATGAAATAGACGTTAAGCGCTAGCTGAAAGACTTAAAGGTGCAACTTCAATCACACACTTGTCACTAATGTACGGATGGTATGAGCTACGGCGTAGACGTCCTCCGGGATCTTTACAATTAAAATCACATTTAAACCGTTAGTTAAGCGAAAGCAGGACTTTTGACTTCTACGGAAAAGTTAAATCGTAAGTCACTTAAAAAGCTTTTAACCTCAACTAAGGTCGTCATTAGTCTGACTCGAGTGCTAAAAAAACAATTGGTTTCTATTGATTTATTTATTAGGATAAAAATGTTTTAGTTTGGCTTCAATAAAATCGAAGTCAGGCAGATTTCAGAGGGTGTCCAGGGATCAATTTTATTTTAACAAAATTATAAATTGGTCTGAGACTGAGTATTAGAAATTGCGTAGTAGGATTAAATCGGGTTAGAATACTTCTTAAATATGGTGTTAAGCGGATTAGAAGTCTCAGATCACATCCTCTTACCATCGATTTCAGCCGGGAAATCTCACATTTCCCGGAAAGTGAAATCTGATCGGATCTTACCGCGGTGTGAATATAACGGGCTCCCAATTTCCAGGACAGAGTTTAAGGAGTTTAAGGGTATCCATCTGAATGAGAGAAGCAGCAAGAAAGTTTTTTTAAAATTTTTATACCCTTGCTAAAAATGGTGGAATGTACCAACAAAACAATGAATGTGTGATTTCAAATGTTCAGATTAAGACATCATGTAATATTGAAACAGCTCAATGTGTTTTGTTATGTTTGTCAGTATATTTGCGCAGTATATTTGGGTATTTGGTCAGTATATTTAGGTTCTTTCTGTTGATCAATTATAAATTTGCTAAATTATCGACAGTTTATTAGGAAAAGCAAACGTCATGGTCAAGTGGGTAACGTATATATAGGAGAGTAAAGTACTAGACACATTGGACGTTCTGTTACAGCCAATGTTATGAGTATTAAAGAGTTTCATCAAAGAGCTATTATGTTTAATGGGATCCAATTACATACCCACAGAAAGAACAGAAACGAGTTCTACCTAGTACCATACATTGCCGAAAATTGCTGTCACTTGAATAATGTCCGAATCTTTGAGAATGAGCGCTGTTGGTCTTTCACAGAAAAACATCTGGATGCACACCAAATTGATACATAAGAAGCGATCGGGTCAATGTATATCTAATTATTGGTCAGTTTCTTACACGAAAAACCACTTGCCGGTAAACCAACCAATTGAGCAGCAGAAAAATGGCTTTAAAGCTGCGATTTCCTCAAATTTTGACTTTCTTATTCTTCCACCAGATCGTAAAGCACAGAAAGTAAGCAGAATAAATATATGTGCAAATAAAATCATTTTTCAGTAAACGGTGTAACTTACCAACTATTTGAAACTATATTTTGGCATTTGATTGGGTTTAGCAGCAATTATTTGGCATAAGCACTCACTTTATATGCATCTTTAACATTAAGTTGGGAGATTTGCTAATCATTGTGCAACATATAGTAAAAAGACAATGAAAACAAGACTCCAATGAGACTCTCGTTTTGTATCTGGTAGCACATGTTGAATCTCTTTGTCTGCATGTCGAGACGCCTATAGATGTATTGTTTCCTTTGACTTTTGACATTTCGCTTTATTCCATTTTTCCGACAATAGCAATCGGTAGGTAGATATTTATGACATTTATATTTAGTTTATAATTCAAAGATTTGACAATAGATATGATGTTTATTGTCAAAGTGAGTGCTTCCAATGGAATTCAAAACACAGTGAATGAAAGCCATGAAGAAACCAGTTTTTTTTCGTTTCATTCTGCCACTGAGGCACTAGTCGGAGTCAGGTACCAGACCAAAGAGATAAAAAATACCCACCATGTCTCTAGATAGTCTACCAAATAAGAAACATGCATGTTGAGGGATGCAAAAAATGATGAAGAAAGGCATGCAGTTATACGGTGTTTTCTGTGAATATTCTAACAAAATATTCTTGTTTGTCTTTTATAACTAATTAAAAAGAATCATATGGACAAAACTCCAGCCATTCGCTATGAAGCAATGCTCCAAACACCCGTTTGAATGTTTGCGGATGTTTCTGGCATGGAAATGACTTTGACCCCTTCCCCCAAGAAAGGTAAACAATTTCACCCTTTCCCTACAAAAAAAGATAAATAAATGAATAAATAAATAAATAAATAAATAAATCCACCCCCTTCCCACAAGAAAGGTGAGCCTATCGCCCCTTCCGCTCCAGACAAGTAAATAAATTCACCCTGTCGCTCTAAAATCTACCATTTCCACCCAGTTGCCATCCTCAGCTGTGCTCTGCCAGCGATCAGATATGTCCTGAACTCCCTCCACTAGCTTGCACACACTTGTGGCACTTAGGTCGCATTTAGAACAGTTTGAACGATTTCAAAATAAGTTGATCCGCGGATTAAGAGATCCGCAGATCAAATATGGCCGACCCACTTAAAAGCAGCGCTAACTAATTCCCTGATGACCTCGGAGCCGATTAAAATTAGCTTTAATTGCTAGGGATGGCACATAGGTAGGCGAGGAGACCATTAAGGGATTACGCAGCCTCGCCCCTAAGTGGGTCCGCCATATTTCATCCGTGGATCAGTTAGTCCGAGGAAAAAACTGTGCTGAATGCGGCCTCAGACCGCAGAACTGCACTCAACCTTGATGTTCCTCATAACCCCACAGGAGGCCGGTAGCATGCCGCCAAACCTATTTAACACTAGTAGATCGTGCACCCCACCGGTCATATACCTTACACCTCCAGTAGTATGCTGAACTGATGATAATATCCCCAGTGGACAGCATCATGCCCCAGGGTTCTGAACAGACGAACTATGTGGCATTCAAATGGTTTATTAACTCTTGTATGGAGACAAGTGCCACAGCAACAGAGACAACAACGACAACTACACCCTACGAGATTATGAAAATATTATCAAACATTTCAGATTTGACAGCAAGGCTGTGTAAGCAATTACTGAGAAGAGAAGAAAAAATACGGGGATTATTGATCTCTCTCGGTTGTGAGTCTGTCGATAAAGTAGTTAAAAATGCGTTCCCATTAGCGCCCAGTGTAGATTTCATTAAAGACCCGAGGCGGGTGGTGTGCAGTGAGTGCTGGGGGGGGGGGGGGGGGGGGGGGGGGGGGGGGGGGGGTGGAAGAGAACAAATTACCCCCTTCAGAATGCTGAGAATCACTTTGTTATTGTTCTGTTGACATAGAAGTAGGAGACCCGGGAGGGAGGAGGGGGGGGGGGGGGTTGGTGCCTCGCTCTTTTCAGCCACGTTTTTGACCACATTCACAACAAAAGTCGATCCAT